GTCCAGGAGTCGGGCAGCTGCTGCACTCTGAACCCTGAATGCTGCCCCAGACACCGCCTCCCAACCCGGGTGTGGCCAATGGCCCCAGCGACTAAGGTCTTCTCCACTGACCAGAGCCTGCCCCTCACCCTGGTCGGGGGGCCAGCACCTGCAGAGCCAAGTTTGCAGGTGGCCGCTGGGCCGAGACACACCCTGACGCCCATGCCCTCCTGCTGCCAGGCCAGTGCAGCTGCGGGAGGGCCGGCCCTTCCCTTCCTCGGACCTGGGTCCGCCCCCCTCCCCGCACCCGCGGCAGGGCAGCATCAGAGCAGCCTGGGCCCCGCGGGAACCCCCGTTGCTGTCCTGACTGAAAGCCGACCTGAGTCTGTCCGCCCAGCGCCCAGACAGCACAGGTAACGCGGCAAACCGCATCAGGGCGTTCATAAAAGCACTCTGCTCGGGAAGCCAGGAACACCGGCCAACCGGACCCGCTGGCTGCCTGAGAGGGCCGGCGTGAGTGCGGCCGCCGTGGCCTCCAGTTGAAGTTCGGTCTCCCCCAGGCAGATGCCCCACGTCGCCTCGGGGATCAACGCAGCCCTGGCCGGGCAGGGCCCCCCGGAGCTCCCAGGGAGGCCAGTGCCCGGACCTGCGACTCTGCGCTCGGACACACGACCTCCGGGCGGGCTCTGCGCAGTTCGGGAAATGTCAGGGCTGCGCAGGCAAAGGTGCCCAGGGGGTGGATGAGCCAGAGTGCCGCCGCCCGCGCCCCCTTGGCGGGTGTGAGCCGGCCGGTCAGGCGCTGCCAGGGTCTCACAGCTGCCCCTGGTCTGATGTCGGGGTCGCTCTGAGCAGTGAAGCCGTGGTTCCGACTCCCACAGCACAACTTAGAAATCTGAGCGCAAAGCCCCCAAGATTCCGGGCATTTTATCCTGACCAGGAAGCAGAAGTACTGGGGTCCCTCCTCCTCCCAACAACAGAGGCTCACGGGGTCACCACAGAAGGAGGATGAGGGCCCAGGTCCGGTGCACCCCGGGAGGCTGGTGCTGCAGCAGCCCCGCCCACTCGGCCCCTCCCAGTCCCAGGTGTGACCTGCCGTCAGGCTGAGCTCTCAGGTTCGAGGCCAGGGTGGCAAACACCCCCCGAGAGTCAGCTGTGAACTCCGTGGAACCGGAAACTCCAGGAGTGAAGAAGTTTCAGACGCAGGGGGCCAGCCGTGAGCCGCCGAGAGGTGCAAGCAGGCTCAGCTCTGCCCTCTGCAACCTCCCGCGCAGGTGGCCACCACCGATTCCCGAGTCCCGGGCACCAGCGGCAGCCCTGGGCCTCTGCCCACCAGGCACGAGTTTACCCCTGGGGCTGGCTGTGGCCGAGGTTCGTCTCTGGGCCTCATGGGGGCGCTATACTGGGGCCGACTGCCCCTGAAGGTGCTCCTGCACACAGAGAGCCCGCCGGGGGTGCTGGTGACCGGGACCCCACGAGGGGCAGCTCTGGGCCAGGCGGTCCCAGTGCCCCCCACACGGGGCTCTGACTCCAGGCTGGCCTGCCCCTGCCAGGCCGGGCAGACTCCAGCAAGTCCCCACAGCTCCTCCGCAGAATCAGCGAGCCTCCTCCTGCGACCTGCGGGGCTACTTCCCCCGGGTCCAGGAGGGAAAATACCCCGGAAGGGATGTCCAGGGTCGGCCCCCCCACCTGTGGGCTGGAGGGTGGGGCGCACACGGTCAGGCCGGGGCTCCTGGCTCCTGGTGGTGACGTTCTCACGTCAGGTGCTCCGTCTTCCCAAACCCGCTCAAGTCTGTTCCTCCCTCGACTGCCCCTCTCCAGGCAAATACAGAGGGGACCTTTGAGGGGTGCAGACAAAGATGCGACACCCCCAGAGCTGGGACTTCCCACGACCCTGATCTGGAAGGAGAGGAAGGTGCTCACTCCTAGCAGACGCGGTGCCCGGGGAACTGAGTGGTGAGACACTCGGTCCCGTCTGTGCGACCGGACCGGCCAACTGCTGCCCAAACTTCCGTTCCTTCAGGTTGAAACCTGCCGCAGGTGCCGCCACACGCGACCGTCTGGAAGCAACCACGTGTGGGTGCGCGTAGCTGCCATGGGTGCCGAACACTCCCACCGCCCTGGCCCCTGGTTGCCGCCCGTGGCCACACGCGGCAGCCTCACCCCAAAAGGAGCTGGGTCTGTGGTGCCGCTGGCACCACTGCGAGGACACTGGCAGCCCGACCTGGACTCTAGGATTCTGGGCTTTTCACCGAGGGGCTCGCGAGCCGCCTGCGATGCCAATGCACTTGAGAGCTTTAAGAACAGAAACTCTGTTAAACCCCAAGATGAGCCTGGACTTCGGGACGACAAAACTCGACCAAACTCCGTCCTTCATGGTCTCGTCCACCGCAGCAGGGAGTCCGCAGGGTCCAGACTGCGGGGGCCGAGGGAGGGGCCGTCGACGCTGCACCGAGAACCAGACCCCCGCGGGGAGAGATGCCCGACACACGCCTCGGGCACATTCGTCACTGAAGCTACTTTTGCTGGGGACACCGACGTGACCGGCACAGAGGCCCTTGGCGGTGGGTTCGTTCCCAGCAGGCCTCACCGTCGGCGCAAACTGGGGGGGCGGCACTGCTGGGGGGGTCTGCTGACGCCCCTGCGCTGGCCCCTCTCTCGGGAAGGAAATCTGCTCGGCCTCTCTCGAGGGCAAAACAACCTCCCCTCTGGCTTCCCTGTGGCGCCGCAGCCCCAGGGCCCCAGCTGACGGGACCCCGGGGAAGCACGTGGGCAGGAAACACCTTGGGTGTGGGGCCGGCCTGGCGGGAAAGGTGAGCCTGGAACCTGCGGAGGGCAGCTGGGCGCCTTCCCAGGGCTTTGTTTGCGTCGGTCCGCAGGAATGTGCAGTGCCACACCACGTTTGGGCTCTGCGACCCAGAGATAACGTGCAGGCAGGTGGCCACAGAGTGACCGCCAAGTCCCCACAGGAGGAGAGGGGCCCCTGCTTTCCGACCAGGAATTAAACACAGGCCTGGTCCTGCGGACGGCTCCCCGCCAGGAACACCCCGTGGGCCTTCAGGGGAGAGGCAGCTGGGCCTCGTCACTGGGGTGGGGACCCCCAGGACTCAGTGTGAGGTTCCGTGTGGACTCGCTCACACTCGGGCAGCCCTGACACAGGACGACTGCGTCCCCGTCGCAGGGGACATCTGGCCACAGAGATGGCACAAAAGGACAGGAGGCGAGATGGGGTGACCGTGGTGTCTGCCACCTGCGGGGGAAGCCAGTGGCGTCCCGCCTGGTGTCTCCTCAGCAAACCGGGCTTCCCCCCCGCCACCCGTGACCTCCGTGCTCCTGGTGACAGCCCCGCATCGGTGACGTCCCTCTGTCCCTGACGTCAACACTGGAGAGAAGCCCACTCTGGGCGCTGTGACCCTTGTGGTCCAGGCAAGTGCACACGTGTGACTCCTGACGAGAGGCGGGAGCATCCAAACACGCTCGTTCACGCAGAAACCACGCAGACACACGTGAGACACACGTGAGAGCCGGCACAGCCGGTTTTCGACCAAAAGTGCCTCCACTTGGGTTTCAAGTTCCCACGTGTGTGACTTCTCCCCGGTTCCGAGGCACGTCTGGCGACACCTCTGAACGCACCGGCCTTTTGAACTTCCCGGCACCGAGAGCAGACGCCGGAATGAATGGGGACGCGCCCTCACGCCCGTCGAGGAAAACCAGAGGTCGTGTGGCTTTCTCTCTGAATCTGAACTGAGTCCCAGCTCTACCAGCTGGTGGCTTTCAAAGCTCTCGCCTCACACTGGTTTGTCACCACAGACTGAACGCGCTGCGGAGCCCTGGCCCCCGTGGCTCTGTGGGTTGGGCACCGCCCCGCAAAGCGAAAGGTCATGGGTTCAATTCCCGGTCGGAGCCCGTGCCTGGGTTGTGGGTTTGGTCCCCAGTTGGGGCGTGTGTTTCTCTCCCTTTCTTCCTTCATCCCTTCCCCTCTTTCTCACGGAATAAAATCTTTGAAAAAGGAAAGAAAGAAAAGAGAATGGGGACAGGGGACCCCAGCTGCGGGTCCCTGGGTGCCGAGAGTGCAGTTACGGCCCCGGCTGTTGCAAAGGCAGCTCTGAGCTGAACAAAGGGTCCCGTGGGGGGGACCCTCCTGTCCTCAGACCCCGCTGAGCCCGTGTCTCCCGAGACGCAGGCCGGCCTCACGGGTCTCTTCCCGGAGGCGCCACAGCCCTGTCTGCGCTCAGCGACGCCTTGCCTGGGAGGCCGTCCCGCCCTCCACGGTCCTGCTGCGGAAAGCACGCTGCCCAGGTCGGCGGCGGTGGCCTGCCTGTCGCTGTGGGCTGTTCAGTTAAAAATAAAAACGCCAGGCTGAGAAGGCGGCCCCAGCGGAGCCCTGGCGGCCCCACACACCGCTGAGAAGAAAAATCAACAACCCGAGACGGGCGCCCGGCGCCTGCGTGAGCTCCCTGCCACCAGACTGCGGGGACCGGCCCTGGGCTCCGGGGAGGAGGCGGCGGTGCTGTTCTCTGCGCAGCGCGGGCGCCGGGGGAGCAGCTGGGGCCCTGGGGAGGGGTTGCCAAGCTGAGGCCCCATCTGCAGAAGTGCTGACGGCAATTAGCCAGAGAAGGGGAGGGGCCAGCAGGAGGCGAAAACAACCAGGACAGGGACCCTCTGGTCCCACGAAGCCCAAGACACGCCAAGCGCACGTGTCTGTAAACTGTGCCCCCCCAACCCCACACCCCCCGGGGCGACCTCCATGGCAGGCGGGCCTGTGCGGAGGCGGGTGAGTGAACAGGGGGTTTCAGGGTGGGCTGCTCCCTGTGCCCCTGTGAAAAGGGGACCCAGGGAGGCCTGGGAGACAGCCACGGGACGTGGAGGGCAGAGATGGGGGACAGTGCCACACACGAGAGACCCCAAAACCCAGCAGCAAGGCCCTGTCGCGGGAGAGGCCGCGGTGGTTCTAAGCTGCTGGAGGTGCCGGCCGGAGGCCCCCACACGTGGACCTCCGGCCTCGCTGCCCGCCCCCGACTCACCTGGCGTAGGACGTGGGGGACCTGGGCCGGGCCCACTGGTACGGGGGCTGCGGCACCGACAGGTACTGGTCGCAGAAGGCGCCCTTGCGGATGTGCTGGAAGGGGGGGAACTCCTCCGGCGGGAAGTCGGACGAGGGCGGCGTGGTCCCCAGGTCCTCGCCCGCCGGCTCCACCTTGAGGGCCACCGAGGGCGAGTGGTCCAGGGCCGTCTTGCGGGCCTTCATGGGGACGCCGTCTCCCAGGTCCAGGCTGCCGTCGGTGCTCAGGGCGTTGATGGCGGCCACGATGGCGGAGCTGGTGTACTGCGTGGTGTTGCCCAGCCAGGTGTCCTCCGTGACGCTGACGCGCGGCGATCCGTGCGGGGACGGCGTGGGCGAGTGGTGCGGGGAGCAGGACAGCTGCCGCCCGTTGAGGCCGTACTTCCTCTTGTTGCTGGGGGACGAGGGCCGGGAGCCGCGGGCGCCCAGCCAGCTCTCCTCGGTGACGCTCGTGCGGGGCGAGGTGGACGGCGAGTGGCGCGGGGAGCCCAGCAGGCTGCAGGCCCCGAGGCCGCGGGGGAAGCCCTCCTCGGGGTCCGTGGTCTTGGGGGACACGCAGGGGGACTGCCAGGGGGACGTCTGCGGGGACGCGTAGGGGTAGGAGTAGCTGGACTCGTAGGACGAGGCCTCGGAGTTGCAGCTGCGGGAGGACAGGCTGCTGGCCGGGCTCAGGCAGGAGGGGTCTCGGTAGGCCTCCAGGTGCGGCAGGCTCAGGGTGGCCGTGGGCGGCGGCCGCTTGGGGCCGGGCAGCACGTCCTCGTCCACGTCCTGGAAGAACTGGCTGCTGCTGTGGTGCAGCCCCAGGTAGGACGTGATCTCGATGCGGGGGCCCTCCAGGGCCGGGGCGCCGTTGGGCCGGACGTGGCCGGACGGCAGGAAGTAGCCCGAGGGCCCACCGTCCACCAGGGCTCCGTACCCCGAGGGGTGGCCCGCGGCGGCCGAGATGCCCGGGGCTGACGTCTGCAGGTCATGGCAGGGGCCGGGCAGGGCGGGGTGCGTGGTGGGCAGGGGCAGGCCCGGGCCGACTGTGGAGGTCCCGTAGCTGTAGTGCTCTGGGGGGAGGGAAGGAGACGGGGTGTGAGGGGCCCGGTCGGCAGACACGCACACCCCCAGCTGGGAGAGCCCCTGAACGGGCTGCGACCCCCGTGCTCTCCCCACGCCCCCACCACGGCCCCCAATGACCCGAAAGCCACAGCCCACCCCCCGGAGCCTCCCCCGCCTCCTCCCCAGCACAGGCCTGTCCCGCGCTGCCCGCCACCTCCCTGTGTCCCGCTGCTCTCTGCGCAGAGGGCCTGCCCTCCTGCCCTGTCCCGGTCCCGTGGGCCCCCTCCCAGTTCACGTCGTCCCCTGGCCCTCATCTCCAGCCTTGTCTTTCACCAAAGACACTCGGCTCGCCGGCGCAGGGGCCTTCGCCCGCCCCCACGGGCTGCAGTTCACCCCTCAGAGCCCGGCCCGAAAGGTGCCCCACTCGTTTGACAGACGGGCGGGTGGGTTCCGGTACAGGGACCTGTGCGTGTGAAGAGGCGCTGACAGGTGGACGCCCGGCCCTGCCCACCCGCTGCAAAGAGAGCGCCCGGGGCGCCAGGCGAGGTCCCTCCCCCAGAACTGCACTGGCGACGGCAGCAGACGCCCCACCTTTCACAGAGCTACGTGGGCCGTGTTGGGGCACGCTGGGACTGAAGGGTCGTTAAACGCTCATTACCACCTCGGTACGATCTTTTTAAAAAATCATTACTAGTGTAATTAGCCACTGTATCAGAAAAGCCTCACTTTGGGTTTCCAGTTTGAAAAGACTTGTTGTGACCCCTTGGTGCCCAGTCGCTGTCTGCGCCTGCTGCTATCCAGGTCGCCGAGTAATGGAGACCCGCACGTGGAAACCCTACCCCGGCCGCGGCGGCGCCGGCCAGGGAGGGCTCTCATGTCAGACACGCCCGGGGGCGGAGGCCAGAGCGTCCGGGCCCTCTCTGACCGACACGGGTGTGCGGCCCCGGGCAGGCGGGGCCCAGGCCTGTCCCCACCCATTCCCACAGGTGGGTCACCACCAGCCTCCGTCCCCTGCATCAGGAGGGTCTTCCTCTGATGGCTCCAACCCCCGAGGACAACAGGGTCCCCGGCTCCCAAGGAGGCAGGCGCGCCCCGGCCCGCGCCCTGGGAGCGCCCGCAGCCCCGCCACCCGGGCGTCGGTGGCCACCTTCTACGGTGGCTGCCGGTGCTCCTTCCAAAAGGCCCCGGGGGACCCGGAGCCGTGAGGAGGAAGAGAAAACAAGGCTGAGACTGAGTCAGAGGTCGGGGCGGCAGTGACACCTCCGCTCAGGTGGCCGCGTGCCCGCTGCGCTGCCGTAGCCAAGTGGCCAGTGGACGCTGTCCTGAAAATCCCAGGTCCTCGCCATCTCTGGGGCCGGTGTCCCAGTCTGCGCCCCAGGCGCCAGAGGGACGGTGGGGACAGCCATGCAGGGAGGGGTGCGGCCCCGGTCTGCGGGCAGGAGGCAGGGGCCAGGGCGAGGCCTGAACTGATGCCAGCGCTGGGCTCTGCTGTCCACCCTGAGATGGCCACCCCCCCCGGTCAGCGACACCCACTGTGACCCTGGCACGTGCCGACACCTGCTGGTGCCAACACTTTCAACTCGAACACCAAAACTGGATATTAAAATCCAGCCCTGGCTGGTGTGGCTCAGTGGATTGAGTGCTGGCCTGTGAACCAAAGGATTGCTGGTTCGATTCTCAGTCAGGGCACATGCCTGGTTGGAGGTGAGGTCCCCAGTGGGGGGCTTGTGAGAGGCAACCACACATTGGTGTTTCTCGCCCTCTCTTTCTCCCTCCCTTCCCTTCTGTAAAAATAAATAAATAAAATCTTTTAAACAATGAAATGAAATGAAGTTTGGTTATGATGCTTGTAAAAAACAAGAAATCGGTCCCCCTAGAAGGGAACTTCCTGTGGTCGAGTGCCCTGGGAGGAGGGGGTGTGAGGGCGATGCTTCCCAGGGGCGCCCCCCCCCCCCCAGGCTGCGGCCGAGCACGGCAGGGGCCAGGCAGGGCGGGGCCTGCGGGCCGGAGGGTGGGCTCCCGGGTGAGAGGCGCCCAGCGGGGCGGAACACTGAGGGGAAACCTGCTCCCTCAGCCCAGGGCGCTTCTGCTTCTTCCACAGGGAGGCCTCGGGAGATGACAACCCCTCACAGACCCGTGCAAGGCAGTGTGCACGCTCTTACGTGTGAGATCAGACGCGCTCTCCAGGGCCCGTCCCACACGCCCCCACCTTTCCCACCCGCTCTGCTGGCTGATTGAGGGCACCCGTGTGCCTACGGCCGGCAGGTGTGAGCAGAACACTAGTCAGTCCGACCGACAGCGCAGCCCCCTGGGTTGGGGGCGATCAGGGTCACTATTGGTCTCCCATGGGCGGGCCGGATGCCAACAGAGTCGGGGGGGGGGGACGGACCAGTGGGGGGTCCCAGGCCGCAGGGAGGAACCCAGTGGTTAGGCCTCAACAAGCAGCTTCTCTTCCCCGTGGCTGTGACAAGTGCCCCCCACCCCCAGAGGGAAGTGGCCCCTCCGGGCGGGGCCACCGTGAGAACAGGCCTCGCCCACACTCCCACCCACGCCGGCCCCTGTTTGTTTGCAGCCCAGGTATCTGCGAAGCCACAGATGACCTGACGGTTCACAGAAAACGAATCTTCCCGTCAGAGAGAAATCCCAGGACGCAGCTTGGGGCGATGGGAACAGGAAGTGTGGGTGCGGACACAGAGCCGGCCCCCAGCACGGCTGGGTCCTGCCTGCGGGGGCCCCGGGAGCCCCGCGCCCCCAGGTGGCGGGGGCCATGGAAGAGGACAGACCCGCGCACTGCCCGTCAACCCGAGGAACACCCTGTGTGTCTGTGACTTACCCTGAGAGACGCAGCCACTGCCACAGCTCGGCCACTGTGGGCCGAGAGGCAATGCTCAGAGCTGGAAAGTAACATTCCAGCCCAGGGGGTGGGACTCGTGCGCACTGGGGGCCACACGGGGGCCTTCACAGGGACGCAGTAATGTAAGGACAGTGTCAATGTAACCACTCCTTAACTGTTAAGGAGTGGAAATGACATTTGGCCCTTTGAAGGCACAGAGAGGCTGACCAGGCCCCCGGTGACAGTGAGTTTGACACCCTTGCACCAGCCACTCGCAGAGGGAACCCAGGGGCCTCCCCAGAGGACTGCGCCCCTCGGAAGCTTCTGGATGAAGGGGGAGGGGCGGCGGGGGAGGGGTGTGATGTGTTTCTGGGGGAGCCTGCGGCCCCCGGACGACCAGAACGTCTGGGAAGGAGCCTCCATTAACCCGACCTCTGTGGATGAGGAAGAGAAGCCTTTAAAAGCAAGACTGGCCTCAGTGTGAATCTCCCCCATCAGACAGATTTCGGAGCCAAGCCCCCGACAGCCTGAACCGCACGCAGAAGCCCCCCACTGAGCTGCCGACCACCAGGGCCTCCCCTCAGACCGCAGCACACGGACTGCCTGCCGGGGCCGCGCCCTCCCCACGCCACTGCTCTGGGTTTTACTGCCAACTGACGCCGTGTTCAGATCTGAATTATTTAACGATTCAAAGGGATCCCACTGACATGGAATGAGGACGCTGTCAGTAACTTTCTTAACCCCCAGATGTCAGGCTCGGTCCCGTCACGCCGAGAGCCACTGAAGACAACACCCGTCAGAGTCGTTTTCTGCTGCCGTTTTCGGCGCCTGGCCACCTGCCAAGGAGGGTTCATTAAATTACCGGGCGGGTGAGCACCGAGGCAGCGGCAGCGCGAGCAGAGACCGTGCGGGGCTCGGTCAGGACGGTTCGCTGCCAGGAGAGCGACGCAGCTGTGGCTCGGTCTCATGTCTGCCGCCCGCCGCCCCGGCTCCTGGTTCTCCGGTGACCGTCCCCCCTTCACCGAGCAAGGAGCCTCTGGGCACAGACGCGGGCACAGTGTGGGCAGCAGGGGGGCCTGGTGGCCGGCGGACACCAGTGCGGCCCCCGGGCCGGTTGCAAACTCCGTGCCCAGCAGACTCAACAAGCCAGAGTTGTCACGGTCATTCCGTCTCCTTCCAAGAAGTGATTTATTTCAGAGCCTACAACTGCATTCTCTTGGAACCAGCACCCCAAAAATGCACCCACACGCTTCCTGTTCAGGTCAACAGCGCCTGGTGTTATTCAGATGCCCGGGACCCCAGTCATGTGTCGAGGACGTGGTGGCGGTGACTCGGGCTGGCCCATCGGCTCAGGGTCCTCACCCCTCACCCGCCAGGCGGGCATCTCCGCAGGATCACCGACCCGGGCCCTCACTCTCCCACAGACTCCGAGATGCGCCGGCCGGCTTCGGCTTTCCGTTTGAAGGACTGTCCCTGTCAGTGTTGCTGGGGCAGAGAGGCAGGACAGGAGGCTAGAAATAGAACTGGACTGAGTGGCCGCCAGGCCCCGTCCTCCTGGACGCCTGGCCAGACCCCTGCGCACAGGGCCGTGGGGCCGGTGCCCGCAGAGCCAGGCTCTCATTCTGCAGGCGGTGGAAGCAAAGCGCCGCGGCCCAGGCCTGTGTCGAAGCCCACCCTCCCCAGCGGCTACAGAAAGGGCCACCTGAGGGCGAGGGGACCCTGAGGCCCCCGCGGGCCTCGCTGGCCAGGCAGGCTCCCTTTGGGGAGGCACCTCGAAGGCCGGCGCAGCGGCACACACGCGGGACGACGTCCCCTGAGCTGGCCCAGGCGGCCCTTCCAGGGGTCCTCCGCCCGGCCCGGCCAGGTCCTTGCCTCTCAGTCCCTGTTTTTAAGAAGGCAGCACCACCGAGCTGTCCACCCCTTGCTCTGGCCTTCCTCTGACAAACAGGACCCAGAACTAAAATACCCTGCACACAGGCAGCTGTCCCTGTTGGGACCCTGTCTGAGGGTGGCGGCGGGGACGCTCCTTTACAGACACAGGTTCTTGCCCTGACACGTCGAAGGTCCAGGCCCCACGTCCCCTGTCAAGTGCTCCCCACCTTCTCAGGCCCTCCGGGGGGGCGGGCAGTGATCCCAGGGCAGGACCCCCGCCCGGCATCTGTTGCAGGGCTGGCC